AACTTCTGTCTCCTGGGTTCAAGTGATTCTCCTGCCTCAGCTTCCCGAGTAGCTGGGATTACAGGCACGCACCACCACACCTGGCTTATTTTTTGTAGAGACGGGGTATTACCATATTGGCCAGGCTGGTCTCAAACTTCTGACCTCAGGTGATCCACCTGCTTCAGCCTCCCAAAGTGCTGGGATTACAGGTGTGAACCATTGTGCTGACCTTTTTTCTTTTCCTTTCTTTTTTTTTTTTTTGAGACAGGGTCTCACTCTGTTGCCCAGGCTGGAGTGCAGTGTCTTGATCACAACTCACTGCAGCCTTGACCTCCTAGGCTCAAGCCATCCTCCTACCTCAGCCACCCAAGTAGCTGGAACTACAGGTACATGCCACCATACCCAGCTAATTTCACTCCTTTTTTGTAGAGATGGGGTTTCTCCATGTTGTCCAGGCTGTTGCAATGAGATCTAAGCACGCTTCTTCAAATCAGTCCACTCCACCCCTTGCCTCTCCTATCAGCAAACCCACCCTGGGTAAAATGTCCTTCACTTCTCTATGTAAAATTGGGTACACAAATCACATCATGTAATCATGTTGACATGTGCCCTGCATTTGAAGCCGTATTTGGGTTCAAGGTACACCTCATCTCCTGGCTTAAAAAATAAAAGCAGCTTAGTTTTGGCTTGTGCATTTCTTCCTGTCCTTTCAAATTTGTCAAAGTTACCCCTGAATCAATTAAGTAGGTATTGAAAAATGTAAATAAAAATGAGAAGTGAATTGTTCCTTTGGGTTCATTTTCACATGGCCTGGGAAAAAACCTGAAGAGCCTTTGGGCATAGTGCTAAGTTCCACTCGTCTGTATCTCGTATATTCAATTTGATTAAAGCTAAAAAGCTTTAATTAAAAAACTGTTTAGGCTGGGCGTGGAGGCTCACGCCTGTAATCCCAGCACTTTGGGAGGCTGAGGTGGGTGGATCATCTGAGGTCAAGAGTTCAAGACCAGTCTGGTCAACATGAAGAAACCAAACCCTGTCTCTACTAAAAATACAAAAAAATTAGCCGGGTGTGGTGGCGCATGGCTGTAATCCCAGCTATGTGGGAGGCTGAGGCAGGAGAATCACTTGAACCTGGGAGGCGGAGGTTGCAGTGAGCCGAGATTGTGCCACTGCACTCCAGCCTGGGTAACAAGAGTGAAACTCCATCTTAGGAAAACAAAAAAACTGTTTAAAGAACTCTCAACTAATTTCAGACAACTGGTATTTTTGCCAGCTTGCTAGAATAACTGTCTTGTTTCAACTGTAAAGGTTAACAGACAAAACAAAACAAAAACTTCCCTCACTCTCACACATTTACAAGGTTGATTAATGAATACCCAGTTATTTGGGAACTATCTCAACAGAAGAATTAGTATTTAAAAAATATACTAGGCTGGGCGCGGTGGCTCACGCCTGTAATCCCAGCACTTTGGGAGGCCAAGGTGGGAAGATCACCTGAGGTCGGGAGTTTGAGACCAGCCTGACCAA